GGGGTTTTCCTGCCTTCTGGAAGAGTCACAAAGTCCCGTATCCACCTTTTGTTTTTGGATGCTTTTAATGCCCTACCACGTCCCAAATCCTCTTCCCTTCGGGTCGCTCCTCTTGGAAAACCATCAGTGGCCAAGTAAACCAGTCCCTGGGGGGGATAAAACATCACCAGGAGATGAGGAGGGAGGTGGGATGGGGGTGGAATTTGGGAAAAAGGGGGGGGAATCACCCAAACTCACCTTTAAATCCCTCTTCGGGCATACAAACTGGGATGGGAGGGAAAGGAAGGCGTTAGAAGTTGTTCCGATGGATCAATATCCCAAAGATGACAAGCAAGTGTCACAATCCCCTTTTTCCACCTTTCCCACCCAAATTCTTGCCCCCCCCAACCTTCCCCCTCCCCTCTGACCTTGCATAACGTCGTCCATCGCTGCGTAATCCGCGATGGGCTCATCAGCCTGGAAAAAATACGGGAATTCTGGGATGAAGGAGCTCGTGGAGCCACCTCTGGAGGGGAGCAGGGAATGGGGCTCCTGCCCAAACACTGGGAACGTGAGGGGGGGATTCATTCCCTAATTTAGCTGGATTTTGGGCTGGTACCCACACTGCTCAGCAGCAAAACCAGCCAATAAAGGCCCTGGGGAAGAAAAAATAAGGATTGTCCTCCTCCAAAGCAAAAAAATAAGGATTTTTCTCCTCCAAAATGAAAAAAAGGAATTCCTCCTCTGAAACAAAATCAATAAGGATTTTCTTCCTCCAAAATAAAAAAGTGAGGATTTGCCTCCTCCAAAACAACAAAAAAAACGGATATTTCTTCTCCAGAATAAAAAAGATAAGGATTTTCCTCCTCCAAAACAAAAAAAATAAGGGTTTTCCCCCTCCAAAAGAAAACCATAAGGATTTTCCTCCTCCAAAACAAAAAAATGTGGATTTTTCTCCTCCAAAACAAAAACCTGAGGATTTTCCTCCTCAAAAACAAGTTTTTTCTTCCTCCAAAAAAAAAAAAAAAAAGGCAAAAAGAGATCTTCTTCCTCCAAACCAAAACCAAACAGGATTTTCCTCCTCCAGGAAGGGTCTCTGTGAGGAACTCATTGAATTTTTTCCAATTTTCACAGGCCCCACGACACATTTCCCTCTGACTGCATGAACCCAGCTGGATTTTGGGCGGGATCCCCCTGGATTTTGGGCTGGAACCCTGTGGATTTTGGGTGGGATTCCGTGGATTTTGGGCTGG